ACATTTTAAAGTGTAGAAATAATGCTTAATGCAGAAAAAAATAAAATGCTAGGGAAAGATTTAAATAGATTGATAGTTTGCATTTTTACTCTCAGTTAAAATTTTTGTTTTATTACATTACTCAGTATTTTGTAGCCTTGAAGATAAGCCAAATTGACTTGTTGTACCTTTCTGAGTCGAGAATGTGTGTGTGTGTGTGTGTGTGTGTGTGTGTGTGTGTGTGAAGTGTATGAGAAAAAGAGAGTCCCAGGAATTTGCATTTCAACCTACTTACTAATAAATATGTTCTTTACTTTCGAGTTGAGAATCACTGTTACAGATAGTGTGAAACACTGGTTGAGGCTTTCTGAATTGCATTGAAGGATCTGCCCTCCACCACATCCTTTGGCCATGATAGCTTATATAATATAGGCGGATTTATATAGTATATATAAACATATATTATATATATAATTTGTCATTAGATATATTATACATCTCACAGTTGACTTCTCTTAAGGAGAACTCTTTCTGACAGAAAATTTTTTCTAAGGTAGAAATAAATAGTGGTGTAGATAAAATATTTGGTTGAAAGATATGTAGACAGCTAGGGCAAGGGTAATGATCATAATGATGTCACAGATTGAGCATCTCTAATCTAAAACTTGTGCCCAGAGAGTTTTGAATTTTTGGCGTATTTTGGACTTAGAATTATCAGATCTGATAATGTCTATGCAAATATTCCAACATCTGAAAAACCCTGAAATGTGAAGAAATTTTGGTTCTGTTTCTTCGAAAGAATTTCAGTGAAGTTACAACTTGCATATATTAGTAAAAATAGCTACTTGTCAAACATTACTAGGTGCCACATGCTTTATATACAGTACCCTATTAATCCTCACAGTCCTATGAAAAGAATGTCACTATCATTGTCATTTCACAAATATTTTGTCCTGGATAATGAATTTAGTCATCCATTAAACATGAATACAAACCAGATTCATTTGATGCTAGAGCCCAAGTCCCTAAATAGTACATTCTATTATCTCTCCTTACTGAAAGATTGCAGATTTCAATAGCAGCAAATTGCTGCCTGCATCAATATAAGCTATGATGGGCATAAGTTTGAACCAAAAATCAGGATTAAATCAAGGAGGATGGAAAATATAAAATTCAAGCTAAGAAAAAAACCCTTAGTGTAGTCTGAGGATCATTTAATGAAGTGCTTGAGGTAAATGTATGTGAAGATTATCTGCTTCCTCAATCCAACAGGGGTGACAAACAATAGAAAGAGGAAGTACTGAATGCATGGATATTTCTATTCTATTTGAAATCTAAACACCAAAATGCATAAATAGTTATTATGCACAGTGTCTCAAACACTTATCCCATGGCTATATTGGACAAAATTTTTTAAGGATGGGGAATGTGGTCTTAATAGCTTAGACAACTTGATGAAGATAATAAGGTGCAAAGTTGTTTAATAACAGTAATAGATTTTTTTTAATGCTGGAAATGTATAGCTGGTGCCATTTAAAAACATATATATGTATTATTGTGTTTTATATTGCTGTCACCAAAATACCCAAAAAGGCCAATTTAGAAGAGAAAAAGTTTATTTTGGGCTCACAATTTCAGAGGTCTTTCTATGGTCTTCGGATTTTATTGCTCTGAACCCAAGGTGAGGCTAAGCATCACGGCCACTGCATGTGGTGGAAGAAAGCTATTCAGATCTGGGCAGCAAGGAAGCAGAAAGAGAGGGAAAGGGTACTTAGGGAAGATGAACACTTCCAGGGCACATCCCCAGTGACTAACATCCTCCAACTTACCTGCATACAGTTACTACCCAATTAGTCCATTTAAACTAGGATGGTCAGATTAGGTTATGACTCTCATAATCTAATCATTTAACTCCTGAATGTTCTTGGATTAATATAGGATCTTTTGGTGAACACCTCATATACAAATCATGACATTCCACCCATGGCCCCCAAAAGTTGATGTCCATCCCACAATGCTAAATGCATTGTGTTCATTTATACCTTATTATCTTCATCAAGTGGTCTAAGCTCTTTAAGACCACATTCCCTATCCTTAAAACTTTTTATCAAATTAGCCAGGCCCTGAGTGTTTGAGACACTCCACATGACTGTTTTTTTTTTTTTTTTTGCATTTGGGGTTTAGATTTCAAATATTGTATTAAATGCATTCTGTACATTTAGTTCTTCTCTAAGACTCCCTGTAGTCTTAACAGTGCCAGAATTGCCCCTAAGTCTAAGTCTCATTTGAGAATCAAGGCAAACTCTTGACTCTGAGTCCCTATAATGATCAAAAGCAAGTTACATATGTTCAATATACAATGGCACAGGATAAACATTCACATTCCAAAAGGGAGGAATGAGGCATAGGAAGAAGGGCTGGGACTAAAACACAGCCCAAACGAGTTGGTCCAACAAATCCTGTTGTGCTATCCATGGTATCAGGGGCACATAGCACTGAGATAGTCTGTGTGAAGGGATTGGGAAGATTTGCTCCTTTTCACCTTTCCCCCTTGCCAAGTGCAGCCCATGTGACCCCTCTCTGCAGCTAGCAGCTTTCCTCAGCAGTCCGTTCATGTTACGGGCATCTTTTAATTCCTGGGATTTCCATTCCATCTTTGGCTTCACCTTCAGAGCTTAGTGCAGTGTCTTCTCAGGGAAAGCCCATGAGGACTTCAACCCTGATACACTTTACCTGGCCTCCTAGGCCTTCCCTTGAAATCTCAGTGGAAGCCTCCTTGATCACCTAAGTTCAGCTTCCTGAATTACTGCAGAAYCAGCACTATGTGAACGAAGCCAAGGTCTGCTACCAGTGAAGCAGTAACTAAGTCCCCTTGGACTATTACTTCAATGTCCTCTGGCTAGTTTGGTGGTTGAGTATGATGAAACAACTTCTTAGGCTCCCTGTGTGAGAAGAGTGCCTCCGTGATTGCTTCTGAAAGTAATTTTTATTTCTATGCCCTTGAGCCTGAATTGGTGTGGTCTTTTCAATTCCTGAGATGCACTCAAGCCCTCTTTCTTAGTGCCTCTGTGCAAAGTATTTAGCATCTCTTTAGTGACTATAATATCGTTAATAACCACGACTTCCACGGCCCTGGTTTTACATGCACTTTTCTGGCCAAAGTGCAAGTTTTTAAAATAATCCTTCTCTGTTTTCTGATCCTTATTCTCACAGTAAACTTGGCTTAATGCTGCCAGAAATATCCATGCCATGGCCTAAATTCTCTTCTGTCCTGAAATTTCTTCCACCAGATTCATTAGTCCATTACCTTTAAATCCAGATTCATGCAGAGTCTCAGGACAAAGGCCAAATGTAGACAAGTTGTTTTTCAGAAGGTAACATGAGTGGCCTCTAGTCCAGTTCCCAATATAATCCTTGTTTCCCTCTGAAACCTCATGAGCATAGTACAATCTGCGTTCTGGTTTTCTGGGCTTCCACCAGAATCACCCATTAACCTCCATTTATGATATCCTAAAGTTTCTCTAGCATTCATCTCCAAACCTTTCCAAACTCCTCCTACAAGCCAATTCCAATGGCTTGGAATTGTTTAGAACCACATGGTCAGGTTAGTCATAGCAACATCCCTACTTCTGGTACCAATTTTTGTGTTAGTTTTTTATTTTTTGGTCACTGTGACCAAAATACTCAATGAGAACAATTTAAAGAAAGAAAAGTTTATTTGGGGGCTCACAATTTGGGGAGATTCAGTCCATGGTCAGTTAATTCCATTGCTCTAGGTTCAAGATCAAATAGAACATCATGATGGAAGGGTATGGTGGAGGAGCACTGCTCCACTCATAGTGGCCAGAAAGCAGAAAGAGGGAGGGATGAGAAGGTGCTGCAGGGAAGATGAATCCCTTCAGAGCACACTCCTAGTGACTTACCTCCTTTAACCACAGTTACCACCTAGTAAGTTCATTTAAACTTCTCAGGTTGGACAGATTAGTTACAGCTCTCATAATCTAATGATTTCATCACTGAATATTCCTGTATTGTTTGGAATCTTTTGGAAGACTCCTCATATCCAAATCAAATCATATATATATATATATATATATATATATATATATATATATATCTCCAAATCATAACCATATATACAAATAATATATATCAAATATGTATCCAAATCATATATATATATATATATATATATATATATATTCCTGAAGCCAAGATATTCAACATCTCTGACAGCCTTTAAAAATGTTTTGATGTACAATATTGTAAACTTTAAAGGCATTGCTGTCTGAAAATTGTCACTGGAAAAATGCAAGATAGGAAATGTTTGTGTAAGTTCTGTGAATTTGTATTTATTTTTTATTATTTGACTGACTTATTGAAATTTGGCTAAAGAGTTGGAATATAAGTCTTCTTTTTAAATCTTTTGCTTGCTAACTTTAAATGTGCACTGTTTTCTTATATCATTTCAATGTGTTTATTATTTTTGTTTTATCTTAGGCAGTTAATTCTGGTCAGTTTCAAGCCTTTGACTGGGGACAGCCTGATCAGAACATGATGCACTTCCATCAGGTATAGTAATAATAATCATAGTCAGTGACATACTGAAAATGAATTAATAAAAATATTATCCACTTCCTAAGTACCTACTACTTCCCATTCAGTACCATAGATATTGCTCATTGTTGCTATCACATGCTGTTTATTGGGTCTTGTCAATGTGTCATGTCATTATTTCTCATTCTCACAATGATCTTGTAAGGTAATAATATTGTCATTTTTTCCAGAGGCTTGAAGAGGTTATAAATTGCCAAAAGTATTTAGCCAATTAATAAGCAGAATATGACAACCCACCAAGGGATTCCTAGATCTAAAAGTCCATTTTTCTTCTACTACAATTATTCTGCCTCAAGATATAAAAACTTCTCAACATTTAATTAACTCTAAATTTTGAAGAGTAAATTAAAAATACACAATCTTGCTGGGCCCAGTGGTGGCACATGCCTGTAATCCCAACTGCTTGGGAGGCTGGGGCAGGACAATTGTGAGTTCAAGGCCAGCCTCAGCAACTTATCAAGACCCTAAGCAACTCAGTGAAACCCTGTCTCTAAATAAAAAGGTCTTGGGATRTTGCTTACTTGTTAAGTGTTAACTCAGTGTCCTGAGTTAAATCCCTGGTATTAAAAACAAAAAAACAAAAGCACAATCTTTGTTTTTAAAGCATATTTTCTAACTTCTATTCCATTTCTAATAGAATAAACTTTGTTCTAATAGTTTTTGATATGCCATTTACTAACAACTTTTAAAAACCTACGTAACATGCATCATTAAAGATATCAACCAAAATCATCACCCTTAGGAAGGCACTATCTGCCAGAGAATTGGGTATAAAAATATTTCTTGAAATAACCTATGGAAACTTTTAGAGCAAATATACCATATTAAAACAAAATATTCTATRTAAAAAAAGTATATGTTATTGTTATTGCTATTTGTCCCCAGTATATGTAAGGGAATCCACTAATTATTTTGGCTTCTTAATTATAGACTAAACTCAAACTGAACAAAGTATGTATGTTTTTCAAATTTGTGATGTGTAAGTTTGGAAATTTTTAAAACAGCAATGTTCAGTGCCACCATAAAAATAATAATAGCGAATATTTATAATTTCAACTAGGGTGAGAAATCTGATTTTTCTCCTAAGCTGCTATATTTAGAAGTGCATGAGACYCGGGTTGGGATGCCTCACATATATTATGTCAGAGTGCTGTTTTCTCTTATAATTCATGAATTATTTGTACTAGCAAGAGTTTATGATTTCTTGAGGAAAAAGCCTTTTAGATAATGACCTTACCTTATAGACTCTGATACTTGCTTGGATGAGAGCTGGGTAGCATGTACTGGCTTTATCATTATGTTTGAAGATCCCATCACAATTATGCCTGCATGGTGACTCAGGTTCTGATATAGGTCTTTAGCTTGGAACTTTGGGTGGGGGAAGGAAAACTCAAAGCAGAAGATGAACTACATACATGTTTAAAAGGCAATAACCTTAATCACAGCTGTAATTAATAGCAGCATAAATTTGGCAGGTGCAATTACCAGTGTAATCACCAGTAATCCTTTGTTCCTAAGTCACTCATTTTTAATAGTTGCATACAATTTTTAATTATCTACTTAAAAATAAATTTTAAAATACTCCTGGCCAAGATATACCACATATAACTTAAATCCAAATTTTGATGTTCATTTTGGCTTTGACATTTTCTGGACATCCACTTTCATCCTTAGCAAAGTAATTAAATCATTGGAGTGAAGGAGTTCTGATTTCAGGGACTCTCAGACCCACTTTGTGGCTCAAAGCTTGCTGGTGTTTATTGCTGCCTCTGTAATGCTTTGTTTTTCTATTCTTCAACATTCTACATCTTTGCATTTAAATATTTATGCTTTATAGTCAACTGTCAAGAAAACTGCAGTCAGAACAAGCAGGTCTCTTCATTCATCAGTGCACTTTGCATTTAGGGCCTTTTGCCGAGATTTCTGGAACCCATCTTCCCTGTCCACACCCCTGGTCATGGCTATGTACTCACTTCTTTCTCTGCCCTTTGTGTTGCCTTCTCAAAACTACACATTCTCATCTAGCACTTGTTCTTAAAGCTCCTAAACTATAGGGAAGCAGGATATGCTTACAAATATGTCGTAATGCAAAGACTCTGGTAGCAACCCATTAACTGATGGAAACACCTGATGTGACTACTATACCAGAGGGCTCTGCCTGAATTTTTCTTTCCTAAGAGAACCTGAGGTACAGTCACCTCCAGGCACATTTCTGTTGTTCTGAGAAACCTCCTCCAGGCCAGGGTCACAGTTTCCTTACAATCTATACCTTTGTCCTTCTTACCTCTTCCTCCTAGTCTGTCACAAATAAGTACAGTATACTATTCAATTAGGGCTGCCATAACAAAATGCCATAGACTGGGAGACTCAAATGATAGGAATGTATTTTCTGTCGGTTTGGAAGGCTGGGTGTCTGAGATCAGGGCAGGCGCATGGCTGGGTTCTCGTGCGGCTCTCTTCCTAGCTTGTAGATGGCACCTCTCTAATGTGTGCTCACATGGTGCATGTGTGCTCCTTTGTTCTTGCTCCTGGAGAGAGAGAAAGGGAGAGAGAGAATCCTTACCTTTTTATAAGATTTTCAATTCTATGGAGTTAGGAATGCACTCTTATAATCTAATTTAACCTTAATTACCTCCTAAAAGTCCTGTCTCCACATCTCCACACACCCTCACATTGGGGGTTAGGACTTCGACAYATAAATCTGGAGAGGATACAAATTCATTACACAGCATATAATAATCAGAAATTATTTTTGATAGGCAATTATTCARTTGTAATTAGCAAAACGAACTCTATTTCATGTTTTTAAAAATAGTACTACATACTGAACTCATAAGTACGAGTTAAGTGGCAATACCCAGGAACTTAAACACCACCACATCTCCGTCTCTCTCTTGCTCTTCCTCTCTATCTTTCCCTCTCCCTCTCTCAACTTTCATCTGAGATGCTTATTTCTATTGTTAGACTCTTTCCAACAAAGTGCTAAGAGGGTTACTGGATATATTTAGCTTATATAGTTCTAGCAATCGGAATTCCACAGAAAAAAATCTAATATTTTCTCAGTAGCTCTRGAAGAAAGTTCCAGACTAACCTATGATACAGATTTAGTGATATGCCAAGTTATTATTATTCAATCTCTGTGGCCAGAAGAATGAGAGATTAATTGACCAGACCTAGTCACTTGGTTGGGATTGTGTTGAATCAGCACAGGAAAAGAAGGTAAGGAAAAACTTGCTGGAGCGAGTTTAATGCTATTTCTCTATAGCAGACTGGCTTCTTCTAAAACTCATATTTCATTATTTTTATGTATTGGTTATCAGTACTCCCCAAAGAAACCTCTGATATATAAGTGTCAATAATGCCACTGAGCCCAGATTTCTGCATATAACAAGGGGATATTTGTCCTATTCAACATTTTGTTTGTAAAGATGTGCTTTCTGATAAAGTACAACTAGAAAGACGATTCCCCACAAAAATACAAGTCTTCCTCTTGGATTCTTTCCTATTTTCCCAAAACTGCAAGTCAGGATTGTAATAGCTTTTGTTTATGTTGTATTCACAATGCATATCATTGGACAAAAGTATTTTCAAATGTTTTTAACATTTTAATGTTTACGAATCAAATGTATCCAAGCTGCACACTTTGAGCATTTGAAAAACTTGCTTCACAACTGAGAATTAATGTCACTTTTATAATGTAGTTTTTTTTTTTTTTTATCGTCCTCTCTCCATCTCTTTCATCATACTTAGCTCATACCTCCTTTATACAATGTTACTGAGATGGAAGTTCCAACGGCCATTTGGAGTGGTGGACAGGATATTTTGGCTGATCCCAAGGACGTTGAAGATTTGCTACCTAAAATTGCCAACCTCATTTATTACAAGGCGATCCCATACTACAATCATATGGATTTTTATCTTGGACAGGATGCTCCCCAGGAAATTTACCAAGACTTAATTAAATTGATGGAGGAATGTTTACAAAACAAAACACACTTTTTTCTCTAAACACATGGATTTCTTGTAATAGTAATGAGGTGTGCTGATCCTAAGGTGATTTCCCAGTGACTTTCACCATCTGATGTCCCCTCCCTTTGAGTGTGAATGGGACCTGAGTCTTCCATCTAGCCAAGAGAATTGGCAAAGATGTCACACCTTTGGTTAGGTTATACCAAGTAACACAGGTTGATGGGATGTAATTCCATAATTACATTGCACTGTATGTGAATCTATCTAAGCAGACCCGAATAAGAGAATCTTCCTGTTGATTTGATGAAATGAAGAGATATGTTGAGAAAACCACATTGCTAGAACAGCATGTGGCTTCTAAGACCTGACAGCGACCTCTATTGGATAACTAGCAAAAAAACGGACCCATAGTCATATGGCCACAAGAAATTGATTGTGCCTAAAACCTGTTGCTACTTGGAAGCCTGTTCTTGCATAACAAAGCCTCCTACTGAGAGACCAACCTTGACTGCAGCCTGTGAAATCCTGGGCAGACAACCCAGCTACACTATGCCTAGACTCCTCACCCACAGAAACAGTGAAATAATAAATATGTGGTTCTAAATTGCTAAATTTGTGGTAATTTGTTATCAGAAATAGTAAACTATTACTACTAACTATTATTGTTAATATATAATAATTATTTTATATAATAAATATAATATTTAATTCATTATATTATGTCTATTCTACATAATGTTATTATGTGATCTATAATTTGTTACATACAACATATCACATTTATAAACCATATCATACTATGATACTGTATATATTGTTATTATTCTGTCTATATGGTTGAAAATTTGATAGATCCTATTCATTATTTCATTTATTTCCCTTTGGCCAGATAGATGAACTTCCTTGAGCTTTTGTTTTACAGATCTTCTGGTGATTGAGACACTCAGTGTTTATCTGAAAAAGTCTTTCTTTTTTTTTTTTTTGTCTTCATTTCTAAAAGAATGTTTTTAAAAGAATAGAATTTTAGAATGGCATGTTTCATAGGTTTTTTTTTCCGTTGCTTTAAAAATGTTCATTGTCTTCTGACATGCATCATTTCTGATACATCTGTGGTTTCTCTCTTTGCTTCTTTGTATATAATGCATCTTTTCCTTGTCTTCTTTTAATAGTTTCTGTTTATCAGTGATTTTCAGCAATTTAATTTGGGTGAGCCTTGATGTGGTTTTTGACACTGCTTAGGGTTTTCTGAGGTTCTTGGATCTTTGGATTTATATTTTTCATCAAATTTGAAAATTTGTAGAACATTATTTCCTGAAATAATTTTTATATCCCCACTTTTTTCTGACTCTAATTACATGAATTTTAGACCACTGTATGCTGACCCACAAGTCACTGAAGTTGAGTGTTTTCTCCTGTGTTTTTCCTCTGGGTGCTTCATTTTAGATTGTTTCTGTTCCCATATCTTTGCATTTGTAGATTTTTTCTTTTGCAGTGCCTAAACTGCTGTAATTACATATGATGGTTTTTGTATTTTAGATTCTGTGTTTGTCATCTCTAGAAATTCCATTTGGGTGAGTTTTATATCTTCTGTTTTTCTCCTCCATATTTTCATGTTTTTCTTTAACTCTTTGAGTATAGCAGCCATATTTCAGCATTATTTTAACATGATTTCTGCTTATGCAATTATCTTGTTTATAAAATCTTTTCTACAGTTTTATTTTTCTTCTTGTTATGGTCCTTCATTGCATGCTTAATAATTTTTTATTGGACATTGAATTTTGTTTTGCTGAGTGCTAGGTTTTCTTTTATTCCTTTTTAGAGGGTTGGAAATTCTTGGACAGTCAAGCAATCTATTTGCAGACAGGTTTAATCATTCTGAGACTTGTTATCTCCTCACTGGCAAGTCTAGAATTCCATTTGCTCTGAGGACCTTTTGCCCTACTCTGAAAATGCACCATCAGAAGACTCTACTCTGTGCCCCTTGTAAGCAAAAATGTCTATGTTGGCTCCATAGGAACTCAAATTTGTCCCTGTGTGCACTATTCACATGCTAAGAATTGGTCTGTGTACAGTTCCCTAGTAACATTCTTTCTCTGAAAGTTTCATTTCATCCACCGTTGTGTATTTTGTCTTTGAAGGTGCAAGTTATAATTTAGCCCAAGGCTGAAGGGCATGCCTCTCCATGTTTCTGGAGCTCTTTTCCTGCATTGCATTGCTGCATTTTTTTTTTCCAACTAGCATTCTGACTCACAAATTTTGTTCTTCTCATCTTCCTTAAATCAACCAGAGCACTGAGCTCAAGGGAGAAAATCAAGGTTTCATGGCTTGTCGCCCTCTCAGGGATTACAGTCTTATGCTGCCTAATGTCCAATGTCTGAAAATTCTTATTTATTATTTTGATTTCAATGTCTGGTTTGGTGGGATGGTGGGATGATAATTTCAGAGCCTGTTACTTTCTAAAGATCAGAAACAAAAGTCAAGATTCTTTTAAAAAATTATAACACTCAGCTATGAATTACCATTATAACTTGATGCATGGAAGGTAACTCTAAAAATAGTCATATGTACCTATTATAATTTTATTTTCATATAAAATTGTATTTCTTACTATCAATATGCTATAGAAAATACTCAAGTAAGCCAACCCTTTAAATTTAGATGGAAACCTATGCAATCATTGAGTTTGGTAACTTACCCACWTTATCTGAGTTCATAAATAAAATCGGATCAGAATTGTATCTCCAGAATGCTGGTCCATTGTACTACTTCTACTACACAAATATTTCTTTCTTTATAAAGACTTTCTGCTTCCTCTCTAATATCTCTAATCTACTTATCTAAMTTCCTCTAATTCTCTGGAACAGTTTTCACCATGATGTAGTACTGGTCCACATTGTTCCCATCTGCAAAATGGAGATAATGTTAGTATCACTGATATTGGATTTCTTTGAGATAACACATTGAAAGAATTTAGAATAATTCAATGACTCTATGCTTTTATTCCATCAAATCCTAACTTTTCCAMCTGTCTTTCAAGACTTTCCCATAATCTGAGTCTGCCTGCTTTTACAAAGGTAATTGTCTCTGCTTCCTAACCAGCTGCACATCTTTCATTCAAACAGATTTGTATCAAGTCTTCTCTCTCACACATCTCATTGGCAGAATTTGCCCACACTATTTACCTTAAACCAAATGGAGTCAAATTAAAATTAAGTCCCAACATTAAATTTCTCAGTCAAATAGGATTTTATTTCTATAGCTATATCTTAGGAAAATTTCTTTTTAATTAATAATTTATTTTCAATAGGAATTTCATGGTATATTAGCATCACTGTCACCAGCTATATCAATTAAATATTTTTAATTTGATTATGCACTACATGTTCAGTGAGTGAACATTGGCAGCTTCTAGAAAGGAGAAAACTTTTCACATTGAACCAGTTTTCAATTCCACCAAAACCCTGCTTTATGCAGAGATTGAGCAGTCAGGTGTCTCCATAGTGACAGTGTGTCTTTATAATCTCTGCAAAGACTCCAGGAAGGGTAGTAAAAAAAAAAAAAAAAATAAGTAAACCTATTCAGCATTTCAGTGACAAAGACATGTTACTGTCATTTAGAATGAATTTAAGAATTAGTAAAAAATCTGGGTCTTGAACCCAGAGTTATTTGAATCCAAGTCCTAGGCTCTTAATGGTTGTTGCTCTGAAGACACAAGTGAAGATGGCCAGAATATTCCTTATCAGGGAAGGTCAGAGYACCTGGTTTTCAGAGAATTCCTGGGGATCGGCCAGTGAACAAGGACAGAATTTAGGATAGATTAAAGTCAACAGAGAGACTAAGACAAAATTAATGTCACAATAGCCAGAGACTGAAAGGGAGTGGCTGAACCAACAACAGGGGCCAGGAATGAAATGGGTAATGTCGGTACAAAGTAGGAGTGCAGGTTCATATGTAAAACAGGTTACACAAGTTCTGAGTCAAAACAAGTTGGCAGAGAACAGGGCCAGGGCTGCTGGCCTGGTTGGTAGTCATTGGGCAAACCTGTCAACAGATGTGTCATGATGACTCTTCATAAAACCAAAGATAGCAGCTGGCCACCATCTACTGACCCTCCCCAACCTCAGTCCCCTCAATGATATTTCCCTGCAATGCTGGAGAGTCACCCAAACCTCAGCAGAACACACTTCCCCCTTTAATAGAGCAGAATCTGCTGTTTTTAGAAGTCACTGTACCCTGTAAGGCCTGAGCCTTATTTTCATATCTGAGACTTCTTACCTGAAGCTGAACACTTTCACACCTTTTGTGTTCCATCTTCCAGGCACAGCCCTTTCTATGTGGGTTACAACTACTGTATCCCACTCCCAAGATGGTGCCAGGTAGACACACGTTGTGAAACGAACCAGTTCTCTGTGAAGGTTCCTCTCTAGGACATTGTGAGCACTACCATTAATGATAAAGATCATCACAACAAAAATTCCTCTTATTTCTAGCCACTTCATGTTTTTTTTTTTTCAAAGTGCTTTCTCAGGCATAATTTACTTTCCTTTTTATTAGTTGAAATGCAACAGGGAATTGCTATGGAATGGATGGATGTTCATGTTAGTATGTTTAAACCATGAGGATTTCAGAAGCATCTCTACTTCACATTGACTGGATATCTCTGGAAAGGTTGATTTTTTTTTTTTTTAAGAATTCTTGCAATGTCCTTTTCTACATAATAGAGACATATACTTCTGCCTACACCATGAAGACCAAACACACACATGAAGCAGTTTAGAACAGCATGACACCTAAACATACAGACCCTTCTGTCTTGGCTCTTATTGTCTTTAGATTTAAAGACATATTATCTTAACACTATAATTCACATTTTCCCCATACGCAAAATGGAGATTATGTTAATATTAGTATCATTGGATTGCTGTGAGATAATGCAATAAAATTAAAAAATTTAAAAAGTGGAAAAATAAACTTCTTGATTTACATAGGAATAAAATATATTAAGATATTGAGTGACATGAAAAGTCATACTTAATGAC